TATATATATATATATATTGCTTCGAGAAAGGCATTACATACATCTATTTAGCATCAACGATATGCTCACAAGGTAGAGAGACAAGGGAGAAGAGAGATGGAAAAAGAAGCACTCAAGATAAGGAGGTTGTTAGGGCTCATGTGGAAGAGACAATAAAGAGCTCACGAGAGGTGGAGAGAAAGAAATGAAATCGAGCAATTTCATTTTATTTTTTTAAATTGAATAGATAGGTCGAATAAATCCCGAACATAATGCTGCAAACGACACTAGAAATAATGCCTCAAGAGGTGTTGAAGAGTGCGATTGGGAGGCACCAACTTGTCCCAAGGATCTGCTTAACCAAGAGAAGAAGATAGTACCCTTCATAAATTTTTATCATTTAACAAAAATTAATTATGGATTTTTGTAAGAAGGGTTTCTTATACATATTATGTGCAGATGTACATGCATGGATGTGTGTGTGTGAGGAGAAAATATTACATCAGGAGTCCTGAAGCAATTTCATATGTGGATGGTAGTATGTAGATGTTATTGATAGCATTATGTTGTTATTTTACCAAAAATAACACCGTTATACTACTTGATAACACCTAAATACTACCATCTACACCTAATTCGGATGTAGGTCATCCTGATGCAATATTTTTTCGTGTGTGATGTTCTGCTTAACCAAGAACAAAAAAAATTATTTAATTTAACAAAAAAAAATTATGGATATTTGTCTCACACACACACAATGTTCATTTTTTTTTATTACTTTCTATTTTAGCGCACACTTATTCTTTTTTTTATTACTTATTTTAATACATTTGTGGGCTTCTCCCATAAACTTCTCCTTAATGGTGCATGAAAAATTTTTATCCTCCCATCTTGCAGCAACATGGAGAAATCAGGAACCTTCCAAACCATTTTAGCGTTTGAAATGCCTCAAAATGGCATGTTTGAAAGAAAAAAAAAAAGAAAGCAAGTTAGGACAATTTCTCTATTTCTTTTGAAGTTGTTTGTAGGGTTGGCGTAGCTCCTGTGACAGACAAAATTAGAGAAAGTCGCCTTAGATGGTTTGGTCATATTAAACGTCGACCATTAGATGATCCGATTAGGAGAGTAGATGTTTTAAATTCGACTTGTGTTAAGAAAGGCAGAGGTAGACCTAGGAAGACTTGGGCTTATTGTATTAAAAATGATCTTAATTTACTAGAACTAAATGCAAATATGACACTAAATAGGACGCAATGGAGAAAAAGGATTTATGTAGCCGACCCCACGTAGTGGGATTAAGGCTTTGTTATTGTTGTTTTGAAGTTGTTTGTACTTGTCCTCCATTGTGGCCATTGCATCTGATAAGTCAATTTACAGAATGCATGGAGGTCAACAATGATCAGATATAACTAATGGCAATCGAGATTTGGTTGTACCAATATTCTCCATTATTTTGAATTCTACCAGAATTGAAGGGATCAACTCAATATAAGTTTCAAGAGGATCTCCATACTTCATCTGGGGCATAGTTCACCTTGGTTTGTCCATCTTGGCAAGCTTTGCTCAAAATTCGATGATACATTGACATAAAATGAAGCATTTCAAATTATTTGAAGATTTGTCTTAACACCAAAGTTAATCTATCCCGACGAGTAAATATAATTTTAATCACTTCAATTCAACATCTTCCAGAAAATATGTGTTTGTCTAGATGATTGCTTTCTAGTAAGTGTTTGTCTAGATGCTTGCTTCTTTACAAATTTTTTTTAAAACTTCATCTAAAAAAGATATTTTTGAAAAAATATTTGAAATTGTGGTAGGGACAATCACTTTTAATAGCTATATTAGAAAGAAAAAGTTGACCTAACCAAAGTGTAACCTTAATCCAATCAAATTTGATCATTTAGCCCAAAGAGTTTTATGGTTGTATTATAGATAGAACACATATGTTGTGGGGATTAATTTCGCGTTCAATGCACTCAACATTTGAAAACTCAACGAGACCATAATGATGATTCATAGGGATTAGGGCACATGCTTTGGTTATGGATAGAACACATGTTGTGGGGATTAATTTCTCGTTGAATGCACCCAACATTTGAAAACTCAACGAGACTATAATGATGATTCATAGGGATTAGGGCACATGCTTTTGATAAGAGCATGGTCAAATAGACCTCAAGATTCTGTTATTTTGAGCTTCAATGTTTTTTTTTTCTATTAAGCTTTTGATAAATTGCATATGTTAATTTATATTTTTAATTCAGCACCAAAATTTATCATTTTTCATGTGTTTCCATCATGAAGCCCTTTTTAAGTTATGGTGGCCTATGGAATCATGATTTATATTTTGGATTCAATTTTGATATTTTCAAGCCATTGACAAAGGTTTGAATAAATTTATATGAACCTTAAATAACTAAAAATTCCTTAAAACACTAAACCTCCCCATGCTAAAGATGAAACCATGCTCCAACCCTTCACAAAATTCCCATGACCCAGGGAAGTCTTCGTAAACTCTAAAACCCCTCACTATACTTGATCCCCATAAGCCTCCTATTTTTCACATCAACACACCAACATCATGCAACAAAAATTCAAAAAACCTTTTTCCCCCACCAAGGCCTTTTTGTCTCTATTCATTTGGTATCTAAAATAAAACTTTCACATTGGAGATATTTGGATAACAACTCAAGGCAACCCATCAATCTTTGTAAGGTTGATGTGAAACTTTTTTTTTTTTTGTATTATTTTTATAATTAGTTATTTATAAGGCATCATTTTGTAGTAGAAACTTACATTAGCTGCAAAGCTTTTATTTTGTTCATCTAATTGGTTTATCTTGACTAGATGATACCCAGAGAAGGCATGGAGAAACTCAAACATTTGATATCCTCACAGCAGATAAAAAAAACACATTGATGTTAGAAATTAGGAATCCATTTATTGGCAGATAATAGACAATGTAAAAAAGTCAACTTGCTTCATCTTATAAGTTCTATAATCTTCTTCCGTAATGTCAAGAACAATTGTCTCTTTTCCGACATTTATTTCAAAAAGAATCCAATCAAGGCTCCTTTAAGTGCCCTATAAATTTTGGCTTCTAAAGCAATCTTCTCAACCAAATGGAGAAACAAGAAATTGTAGTGGTTCGCCATCGCTTTCGAATGAGCGCATCATTATAAATTATTTGAAAGAATAATAAATTTTCATTTAGAAAAGAGAAGATGGTTATATGAATAAATGCATGATTTAGCTTATTACACTCAAGTCAATTTAGCTTGTTTTGATACACCAATTACCGAACAAACTCCCCTGATGTGGTTCAATACATTTACTCCAATCATATCAATCTATATTAATCTACCATTAGTTGTGGCGTTGATCAACTAAAAACTTCTAATGCATCTCGCTGATTAATTTTTTAATGATGGCTTTTAAAGGAAAATCATTGGTAGTTTCCATGATCATTATGGTCATAATAGTGTTCATTCATATCTCTTTGCTTGGATAAATTATTAAATATTTGTCAAATCGTAGTTTTGGTGCTAATTAGGTAGAAGCATCTTAAAATACCTTCTCATTAACTAGTTTTTCAATGAAGGATTTCAAGACAAGAAAATTGTCGATATTGTTTGAATGATCATTATGGTAAAGATAGAACAATTGGTGTTATGTGGTGCTTTCATAAAATTCAGTAATTTCAATAGTTCCTTATTCTGAATTGTCACAATTATTACATAAGGCAAGCAAGGAATATGTAATAATTTTTGATGGATTATGCTTTTCTAATTGTCCTGCTTACTTGAATGGAATATTTGATCAACCACAATGTGTTCAGCAGATTTGGGTGGGCTAACCGATCATCCTTCTTCTTTCAACTCAACTTTGACTCAAGTAAAATACAAAAATACGGTGCAAAATAGTCCAATGTTTGTAAAGGATTTAGGAAATATCGAGGAAATTACTAGAAGTACATGAGTAGGGAAAATGTTAAGAGTAAACTCATAACCAACAGCACAGAATCACACAAAGAGGCATATATTTAAATGGAACAATCTTATGATCCATGCCCACCATGACAGGATAGAAAGGGACTTTTAATTTAAGATAAATACAAGTATCCAAGATGATTTTGAGATTGACCCCTGTTTCCTTTAATTTAATCTTATATATTCAATGTATGGATGGATAAGAATTACCCGATTTGAACAAACTTGTGGAAGTGTTCTTGTATTGTGGAAGTGTTGTGTATAGATGGTTATGAACTTGTGGAAGTGTTCTTGAACAAACTTGTGGAAGTGCTCTTATATTGTGGAAGTGTTCTTGTATTGTGTATAGATGGATAAGAATTGCCCACTATGACAGGATAACTTGAAGTAACTGAACTGTTGCTAGCATTGATGGACAAATAGTTCATCAAAGACACTACAGAAATGATCGAGTCTTTATGTTGAACAATCTCCACTCTATTCATACTACAGACAATCACCCGATTTGAACAAACTTGTGGAAGTGTTCAACTTCATGCTAAAGAGCTAGGTTGTCTACAATTTTAATGAGAAATCCAACTAAATATTAAGAATCTCCACTCTATGAGGGAACCATCTAGATAATACTAAGCTATTCATGGTATATCTTGTGTTTATGAAGTTAATTGCAAACTAGTCACAGGGCGCACGAGTGCTCTTGATTTCTTCATCTAATTGAAAGATAGAGTGATGCACAACATCTACCGTTAAAACCGAAGATGCCATAAAAAAGTAAGAATTGTCATTGTCCTACTCAACCCTAATAATTTCTAATTAACTTCTCTAATCATTAAATTAACAACTAATTAAAAAATAAATAAATAAATAATTTAATTATTGAACTATAACTAAATAGTCTAGTTAAATGGTAAGGAATTATATGTTGATCCCACCAATAGCAGGGTAACACAATCTTTCAACATTGCATCTATCTGCCTCTTAGAAGAGTACCCCCAACCTTCTCAAAAATACATAGGCATCAAGAAATTGGCCACCATAAGATTAAAATCAAAACACATTCAATGTTCCATGTACAAATGGAAGCATTTCAAAAACATCTCAATATTCTATGCAAAAATGGAAACACTTCAAAAATACAATACCTGATCAATCATATTTAAATATAGACCAGCTTAGGGTTTATCATTGACTTTTTATGCAAATGAATCAATGCAATACATATCCATATACAAAATATGACAGATATAACTTAATTTGCATCATTTTAGACTTTAATTGTCAAAATATTTGTTTCAATATATTTTATATTATTTATATTTTGGATATCTTTTTGAGAAAAGAAGTTTTTAATAAATTATATAAAATTAAAAAAATACAATTTTTGGGGTGTACATGGGGATTAGATGAGGATGATAATGTAATCTAACAGGAATTGTTTAAAATTCCAATACTTTACATTGTAAAAGAGTTGGATTATTGATAGTAGTAGCTGGTTTTCAAGACAGCTTTTTTTTATTTTGGATGGAGTTGGTGGTTTGGGAATAAAAAAATAAATTAGCATTCCATTTAGCTGCTTAAAATTAGAGAAAATCAATTTCACTTATTCTCTTTTTTGTGTGGAAATAAAACCATTACATTTGAAGGGCATGTGGAATTTTGAACTAATGTTATTTCAACCAAATAATAAAAAGGCAAGTTTTGTAATATTGTGAAGCACATTTTGTGTCTACAACCAACCAAAGAGTCCAATATATCTTTTACCCTTCTTTACAATTTCCTTGAACAGCAATTCTTTATAAAATAAGGTTTTTGTCTTCTCTTTCCCTTGAAGGAACTTCAGAGTCTTCATTAAATGTGACTAATAGTTCTTCTAACTCTCGCATTCAATTGATTTCAAAAAGAACTTACCCTAATATGTATCCTAAATCAACTCTTTCTCCATAAAACAACATCACCAAAATTTGAAATTGCACAAGAATCAAGCCCAGGAAAATTTAGAAGCCATTAACCTAAAAAAAATGTAAACACAGCATGAAGGCATAATTAAGTCAAAGCGCAGGGGATAAATTAGGTTGAAAGAAACAGTTTCACCTGTCGTTCAATAAGTTCAAGATCTGGGAAACAAATGAACAGCTTACAAGCAGGAAGACCAAGGCACCCCACAACAGTTCAGATATAACACCAGCACACAATCAAAAGATTTCTTTCATAAATTATTCTAAACGGAGAATGCGAGCACCTATTTCTTGACAGAGCCTTTGCTATTATTCGCGGCATTGCTACCTTCGCCGCTGGTTCCCTGCCCCGCCTTCTTCGATATCTTCTCTTCCAGGGCCTTCTTATCCCTGCACGAATCGGGATTATAAATAAAATAAATAAATAAATAAATAAATCTTCTAAGTAAACCCTATCCTGCATGCAAGTTTACTTCCCAAAATCAATGCAAAGGGGTAAGATAAAATAGGGTCGGATCAGATGCCTCTCACGGCGCTGCTCCGGTGTAAGCCCGTCCTCCTTCAATTTGGTCGGAGCCTTCCGAGCCTGCGATCTCTCCCGATCGCGATCTCTTTGGTTACCGCGTGATAGATTGAATCAAGGAAATCTCATAAATCGGATTGCAGAGATCATAAAGCTATCAAGAAGCTGGGGAAAAAAAAAAAAAAAAAAAAAAAAAAAAAAAAAAAACAAATACGATCAAA